TCTCTAGGTTGCGTGTCACCTCCTTAAAACTAGCTGGGCACCCTCTGGAAAGTTTTGTATCCCCTCAGGAGTATGCCCACTCTGATCTAAAACCTGCTGCTTTAGTTCCTTCTCCCTGCCTCAACCACACTGACTTTAAGGCCCTATATTATAAATGTAGCTTATTTTAGCTTTAGGGCCTTTGCAACAGGTGTTCCCTCCACATGGACCACTCTCACTCTGCTTAAAGATCTTTGCATGCAGAAACCATCACTCAGGTTTTTAGTTTAAATCTCTCCTTCACAGATGAGTGGTGAGTGAGGGAGTAAAGCTGCATCTGTATTTACAGCCGCTCCCCATCCACACATTACTGCCTGAGCTCCACCTCCTGCCAGATCAGCTGTGGCATTAGATTCTCATAAGAGCACAAACCCTTTTGTGAACTGCACATGTGAGGGATCTAGGTTGCACACTCCTTATGAGAATGTAATGCCTGATGATCTGTCACTGTCTCTCATCACCCCCAGATGGGACTGTCTAGTTGCAGGAAAACAAACTCAGAAATGCCACTGATTCTACACTATGGTGAGTTGTATTATTATTTCATTATATAGTACAATGTAATGATAATAGAAATAAAGTGCACAATAAATGTAATGCACTTGAATCAACCTAAAACCATCTCCCTGCCCCACACTGGTCAGTAGAAAAACTGTTTTCCATAAATCCACTCCCTGGTTCCAAAATGTTTGGGGACTGCTGCACTGCTGTATCTCCTGGGCTAAGAACAGTGCCTAACACGTTCTATTGATTATCTATTGCTGTGTACCAAATTACCCAAAATTTAGAGCTTAAGACAACATTTACTATATTACAGTTTTTGTAGGTTCCAGCTTAGGGTCTCTCATGAGACTGCAGTCAAGATGTCATCTGATGGCTTGACTGGGGCTGGAAGATCCACTTCCAGGATGACTCACTCACGAGGCTTTGGCAGAAAGCCTCCACAATTGTCGGGATATTGGCAAGAGGGCTCAGTTGCTCAGTAGCCTTTCTAAAGGGCTACTAAACCTCAGGACAGGGCAGGGGTTTCCCTCATAGCAAATAAGAGAGAGCAAGACAGAAGTTGCAATGTCTTCTACAGCCCAGTCTAGGGAGGAATATTCTGTCATTTCCACAATATCCTGTTGATATGGTTTGGTTGTGTCCCCACCCAAATCTCATCTTGAATTGTAGCTCCCCTAATTTCCATGTTTGGTGGGAGGGACCCAGTGGGAGATAATTGAATCATGGGGACAATTTCCCCCATACTGCTCTTGTAGTAGTGAATAAGTGTCACGAGATCTGATGGTTTTATAAAGGGAAACTCCTTTCCCTTAGATCTCATTCTCTCTCTTGTCTGCTGCCATGTAAGACGTGCCTTTTGCCTTCCACCATGATTGTGAGGCTTCCCCAGTCACATGGAACTGTGAGTCCATTAAACCTCTTTTACTTTATAAATTACCCAGTCTCAGGTATGTCTTTATCAGTTGTGTGAGAACAGACAAATATACTGTTACATGAGGCAGCCCTATGTATGCAAACTACACATGGGCATAAATATCATCTTCAAGGCAGGCTGCCACACACACTTATAATGGTTGTTCAATAAGTGTATTTTGAGCTAATGAATTGTGTCATAATTTTATAACTCAACTTGTAGGGAGCCATCTTATTTCCAAATGTTTGGGGAAGTTTTACCTTCCCAACTCTACCCTCAGCTGTGTAAAAGTATATCCTATTTCATTTTTCAAACAGGATGTGAGAAACAGCAACCCAGGAATGATATTGTCTTAGTTCAATTTGTGCTGCTATAACAGCATAACACTGACTGGGTAATTTATAATGAACAGAAATTTACTGGCTTAGTTCTGGAGGCTGGGAAGTCCAAACTCAAGTGGCTGGTATCTTGTAAGAGCCTTCTTGTTGTGTCATCCTATGGTGGAAGGGCAAAAAGAAGGCAAGAGTGAAAGAAAGAGATGGAGAGAAAGACGGGGCTGGACCAAACCTGTCCCTCTATAAGGAAACTACTCCCAGAATAATGAATTCACTCGCATGATAATGCCATTGATCCATTCATGAAGAGTGTCCTTCCATGACCCAAATACCTTTCATTAGGTCCCAGTTCCCAAAACCACCACATTGGAGATCGAGTTCCCAACACATGAAATTTAGGGGATGCATTGAAACTATAGAAGATACGGAGACTATATGTTTATTCACATTTGATTTACTTATAAGGACAACTGGACAAAATATTTTAAATTATTAGGTTGATACAAAAGTAATTGGCATTTTTTCCATTCAAAGTAAAAGCAAAGACCACAATTATTTTTGCACCAACCTAACAGCAGCTTTTCAGGAAACCTGATCATTGTGGTTGCTGTATATAGGTAACCTTACTAATAGGAATAGTCAACTCTTTCCATCTCTGTAGGACTTCCTAGTTCACAAGGTATCTTTCCATGTGACCTCACTTGAACTCGTAACAGCTCTGAAAAGAAGACAGGATAGATTTCATTACACTCTATAGACAAGGACATCTGACCAGGTCCCAATTCCAGTGAGAGGCAGAAGCAGGAGTAGAACTTTGGCTTTCTTATTTCTAGTATCAGGAAAGACTTCAAGAAAGAACTGTGCATAAAGTAGGCTTAGCTATGCAGCAGAAAAGACAATCCCAATAACAGGCGTTGGTTTTCTTGCTCATGTAAGTCCAATGCAGTTCAATGCAGGTGGGTTGACTTTCCAAGGCAACTGCCCTTATACATCAACTGTGTGATCCATCTCTTCCCTCTTGTAGCTGCCCTTTGCTTCTTGGTTGCACACGGGGAAAAGAGTCTTGCAATGAAAATAAAACGCTTTGACCTAGGAATGATATGCATCCTTCTCCTCATAGTGCACAGGCCAGAACTAGTCACATGGCCCTGCTTGATTGCAAAGGGAAATGGTATTTGTAAGTTTCCTGTGTGCCCAAGGCATGGATGAGCACTAAAACTCTCTCCTATATTGAATAAATTGGATTTGAAGACGTAGGAAAAGGCCCCTTGAAGGCACTTATGAAAACGACGTAAAGAAACATACACAGAACACCTAATATTTTTGAAAGGCTAGTGCTGGGGTCTCTCACAATAGATTTTTATTATTTTATCCTGACAAAAGCCTGGTAAGGTAGACATTATCCCCTTTTTTATGGTTTTTGGTCATTGCAGTTCATGGAGGTTATGTAACCTGCCCCAGAGCTCACATGAAGAAGTGGAGGGAACTCTGATTCTCTTGCTCTTCCTTTTCTCCAGCTCTCAATTTCATGTAATGATCTTTTCTTCCATCCCATAAGAGATTTAATTTTATAAGAGGAGCTTCTAGGGAGCGATACACAAAGGCTGGCAATGTTTTATTTTTTAAAGCTGGGTGGTGAGCACACAGATGTTTGTGTTCTTTTTATGTCTTAAGTATTTCAAAATACAATCTTTTTAAAAGGGGGTTGACAGAACCTGAGAACCAAGGATAAATTCTTCTTTAAAAAAAGAAGCATTTTTAATGAATATTGGCAGCCAGAAAGTAGGACATATAGTATTGGTAACATTTGTTGAGCCCATACTATGTCATAGTTTTGGGTTTGTTTGTCTGTTTGTTCCTTGAGACAAGGTCTCACTCTGTCACCCAGGCTGGAATGCAGTGGTGCCATCATGGCTTACTGTAGCCTTAATTGCCAGGGCTGAAGCCATCCTCCCACCTCAGCCTCCAGAGTAGCTCACACTACAGATGTGCACCACCACACCCAGGTAATTTTTAAATTTTGTGTAAAGATGGGGTCTCACTATATTGCCCAGGCTGGTCTCAAATTCCTGGCCTCAAGTGATCCTCCTGCCTCAACCTCCCAAAGTACTGGGATTATAGGCATGAGCCACTGTGCCTGGCCAGATAGTTTTAAATAACTTCTTTACATATTTTATCTCATCCTTCCAACAACACTATGAGGTAGATACTATTATTATCCCCATGTTAATACGAGATGAGGAAACTGAAACAAGTACGGATTAAGTATTTTACCTGAATCACACATCTATTAAGGGAAAAACTGGATTGGAACCAAGCATTCTGGCTTCAGGATACATACACACGACCACTATCCTGGAAAACCTCTCCTAAGAGGTAGACGATGAACCAAATACGCAGAGGTGGATGAAAATCTTTTGTGCTTCTCCAGCAAATGCGTGGTACATTCCCTAGACGTTTATGACCAGTTAAACAGGGAATTTAAAATAGCTTTCCCATGACAGAGAAAAACAAAGGGCTGGTGTTGTTGGCAGGAAATTCAAAGAAATATTTAATGCAAGGGCTGACTCCCTTGGACCGGATGAAGGGGAAGAGCAGGTAATAATAGAGTTCTATGGATCGCGGAAACTTCCTGGGCAAGGAAGGTGGAGCTGGGGAGGGATTTAAGAATTCCTGAAGGTCAAGCGATCTAGCCCAGCTGGGGTTTTCTCCTGCTATAGGAGTGCTATAAAAGCGCAATTTGGGATTACTACTGTCACTGCTGCTCACCAAATTAAGTTATTCGGGGAGTGATCTTGTCGTCGCCATCCCTATTCCAACACACACCCATTGACATACTCGGATTTGGCTGTGCGGCGCAACGAATTCCCAGGTGGGACGCGCGAGCTGGAAGAAAGCCAGGCGGCGGGGCTGGGAGCCCGGCCCGGCCCGCGCCACAGTTCGCCTGGAGGATCACCGCCAGGGGGCACTCTCGCCGAAGTCGGCCGCTCTGTCTCCTCCCCCGCGCGCTCCCTGCCCCTCGCTCCCCGCAGCCAGCAGAGAAGGCGGAAGCAGTGGCGTCCGCAGCTAGCGTTTGGCCTGCGGACGGTTCCCGGAGATGGCGACGGAGCCCATTGGACCCAGAGTTTGACGTCCAAGCAGCCACGTCTCGGCGCGCAGTGTCTGTATCCGTCCTCTACCAGCACCTTGGCTGAGCGGAGTCGTGCGGCTCGTGGGGAGCCCTGCCCGCCTGGTTCGGCCTCCCTGCGCACTTGAGTGGTGGGTCTCCTTCAGGCGCCTCCTTCTGGCGGCCGCAGCCTCGCTTCCCAGCGGTCAGGGACGCCGCCCCCCGCCCTTTCGCTCTCGGCAGGTCGGGGACGGTGTCCCTGTCCCCTCGCTCCCCACCAGTCGGGGACGCCTGCCCTGTCCCTTCGCTTTTCACAGGTCAAGGACGCCGCCCCTGCTCCCTTGCTTCCCACAGGTTGCTGGACGCCGCCCCTGTCCTCTCGCTTCCCGCTGGTCGAGGACACCGTTCCCTGTCCCTGGCTTCCCGCCGGTCGGGACGCCGCCTCTGATTCCACGCTTCCCACAGGTCGCGGACACCGTTCCCTGTCCCCTGACCTCTGCTCCCCAGGCCTCCTCTTCCTCGCTCACTCTACCTCCTAAAAAACCGCACGTCGCCTTCCTCAACCTTGCTCCCCTCACTCCGCTTTTTCCCCTTCCCAGATAAGGAAATTGCCTCCTGCAGTTTTCCGCTCCTTGGAACAAACACCTGCTTAAATTTTTAAAAAATCCTTTACGTTCCTGGCGACTCCGTCTGTCACTGTCATGGGAAAGCTATTTTCGGATTCCCTGTTCAACTCGATAGAAGTCTCAGGCAGCGAGTTTAAAAAAAAAAAAAAAGGCTCAGATGACACGAATGTTTCCTCCCCCACCCCTACAGTCGGTAGTTCGAGCGACTGTTCCAGACGCCGGGTTGATAAAGCTGTTCCTAGTATTTGGCTTTAGGGGAACTCCAGCTGAGTTAGGACTGTCTTGAATGTGAACAGAAAGCACCTAAAGTATTAGCAGCTTCGCTGTATGGTATTTGATTGTTTGTTTCTCTGGGAGCAGATTACTATTTCTGAATGTCTTGTTACACAGCAGGTTCCATATAGAAACGAGAAAAACTGGTAAAGAAATTCTGTGTTGGCCTTGTGAACTTGGCCGCTGTCATTTCATTCATTCTCTTTTGGTTGCTAGGGAAGGGAGAGGGGCTTTTCTGATTTTGAGGCTGAGGGTCTAGGTAAGAACAATGTGGCCTCTTTTGTGACTCTGGGAAGGAGTCGGGCATGTGGTGGGTACAGGATTACCTCAGAGATTCAGCCTGCATGCACCACAGTATTTCAGAATTGTAACATGAGGTCTTCTCTGTGATAAATTTGGGCATATGATGCCGATAAACTTTTGGCCACTTAGATTTGGAGAGAAGTTCAAATCCTTGCCTCCTGGAGCAGAATAAATAGTGCCCAGGAAGGGGAATGCCCCTTGAATTTGGATTCAAAGTTAAGGCACAACAGCTGAATATTTTGCAGCATCTCTTGGCCATTGGAGTACATTTGTACTTCTTCACACTTTAGAAATTTAAGAAGCTGGTAAACAGTTTCTGTTTCTAAAGCTAGTAGGAAATTAAAGGTAATTTCTCCTATTTTCTTTACATGGTTTTTACTTTAATAAGTTACATGTTTACTCATGTATGAATTTCAGTTGACTTAAAATTGACTCATTTAAGACATAACCCATTGACTTCTTTTAACTTGGCTCGTATCTCCTTAGCATCTGCCTTGGAGGACTAACATTTTGTACATCATCCTACTTCCCCCTCCCCCAAGACATTTTACAGTATTCTCCTTTGATGATAATGTACACCCAGACACTAATTTGTGAATTTAAATCATGATTTATGACAAGGCTGTTTTCAGTACTACTCATTTTATAGTTGAAGTAAGTTAGCAGTAGTTACATTCCACAATATTTAAGGTAGTGCTTATTAGATTTCACAACTGCAAAAGGGAATTACAATCAGGACACTCTTAACATACAAGTTAAGGAACAATTTATACTTTGTTCCATCCCTTTATTAATTCCTGTAGAAAGCCACGTAAGTAAGTAGAATAGAGGCTGTAAGAAATTTTTATTTTAGGCCTGGCATAATGGCTCATGCCTGTAATCCCAGCACTTCGGGAAGCTGAGGTGGGAGGATAGATTGAGACCAGCCTGGGCAACATGGCAAAACCTTGTCTCTACAAAAAATACAAAAATTAACCAGGTTTGGTGGCACACACCTGTAGTCCCAGCTACTTGGGAGACTGAGGTGGGAGGATCACTTGAGCCCAGGAGGTGGAGGCTGCAGTGAGCCATGATCGTGCCTCTGCACTCCAGACTGGGCAATAGAGCAGGATCCTGACAAAATTTTATATATATATATATATATATATATATATATTTTTTTTTTTTTTTTTTTTTTACAAAAACATATTCTTTCTTATGTAAAATCAAAGTTCTATCTCCAGCCTGCTTTTGTAGCAGCTCCTATGACACAGTAGGAGGTTAAAAAGTAAAAAAAAAATCCTGATAGAGCACAATATTTTCTGCATGCATGCCAGATCATCTTTTATTTACTTCTGTAACTGACACAAAGCACTTTTTGTTCTTCTCTTAGTATTAGTTATCATTATAATTAAGTTAGAAAGGTGATTTTTCCTTAACTCATTGCGATCCTTAAAACTAAAGGGACAAAATGTTTTAACTTACCAAAGAAAGAGGAAACAAAAATGCTAAATGGCAGTCAAGAACTGTTTTTAACTTAATTTTTCCTTCATGTTCAATTACATGGAACTATATACTATGGACTTAAAGGGTGACCATATAAAAAAGTTTATTTGGAAAATAGAAAGCTCTGGATTGCTTCTTAAAGCATGGAAAGTAATGTGAAACTTGAAGGCAAATAGATTTTGAACATGCTCACTTTTATGTCACACTGCATTCCCACAGTGGAGTTCCTTTTAAGGAATTATAATTGATTAGACAGATTTTCTTAGGAACACATTAGCTATAAAAGGTCTCTTCAAACCTAAAGACCTTAAAGCCTTTTGAACTGGATTGGAAGCAGGCAGTGTATAGACTGTCCAATAAACTAAATTTTGAACTGGACGTTTGGGCAGAAAAGAAAAGATACACCTAGCTTCGTAATTTCTGCCTTTGTCTTCTGGCCAGCACTTGGATATATGTCCTATAACCAAATAACAAATACTAATTTCTCAAAAGTGATTTTACTTTTAAAAAAAATGGTTCAATACCTAATATTGTCAAGGATAGAGAAAAATGGACTCCTGCATATATACCATGCCTGTGGGAGTGGAAATTAGAATGTCTGACACATATTGGATAACCAGGATTATCTATCAGAAAGCTTAAAAAGTTACATACCCTCTGATCCAACAATTCTACCTCTAGGAAATTTACCTAAGGAAGTAATTGGACACAAAAATAAAATGAGGTCTATCTGTATACCTCATTTTATAGCACTGGTTTTTTGCACTTCACGGATACTGCTTTTTTTTCTTCAGCATGTTGAAGATTTATGTGAACCCTGTATTGTACAAGTCTTTCCATGCCATTTTTCCAACAGCATGTGCTCACTCTGCATTTGTCTGTCACATTTTTGTAATTCTTGCAATATTTAAAACTTCATTATATCTATTATAGTGATCTGTGATCAGCGATTTTTGATGTTACTATTGTAATTGTTGTTTTGGGGTACATGAATCACACCCATATAAGATGGTGAACTTAATAAATATGAGAGCTCTGACTGCTCCACTGACCAGCTGGTATCCTTACTGTCCCTCTCCTCAGGCCTCCCTACTCCCCTGAGACACAGCAATATTGAAATTAGACACAACAGTTTTGAAATTAGACCAATTAATAATCCTACAATGGCCTCTAAGTGTGCAGGTGAACCAAAGAACCACAGGTCTGTCACTTTAAATCAAAAGCTAGAAATAATTATGCTTACTGAAGAAGGCACATCAGAAGCCAAAATGGGCCGTTTAGCCAAGTTGTGAATACAAAGGAAAAGTTGTTGAAGGAAATTAAAAGTGGTACTCCAGTGAACTCACTAATGAGAAAGTGAGACAGCCTTATCACCGATACGGAGAAAGCTATAGTGGTCTGGATGGAAGATCAAACCAGCCACAACATTTCCTTAAGCCAAAACCTAATCCAGAGCAAGGTCCTAATTCTCTTCAATTCTGTAAAGTTTGAGGGAGGTGAGGAAGCTGCAGAAGAAAAGTTGGAAGCTAACAGAGATTGGTTTATGAGATTTAAGGAAAGAAGCCCATCTCCATAACATAAAAGTGGAAGGTGAAAGAGCAAGTGTTGATGTGAAACTACAGCACATTATCCAGAAGATCTAGCTGCGATCATTGATGAAGGTGGCTACACCAAACAACAAATTTTCAGTGTATACAAAACAGCCTTTTATTGGAAAAAGATGCCACCTAGGACGTTCATAGCTATAGACAAGTCTGTTCCTGACTTCAGAATTTTAAAGGACAGGCTGATGACTCTTGTTAGGGGCTAATGCAGCTGGTGACTGTGAGTTGACACCAGTGCTCATTTACACTTTTGAAACTCCTAGGGCCTGAATAATTATACTAAATCTACTCTGCCTGTGCCTTATAAAGGTAACAACAAAGCCTGGATGACAGTGTATCTGTTTATAGCGTAGTTTACTGAATATTTTAAGCCCACTGTCAAGAACTGTTCAGGAAAAAGAGATGCCTTTCAAAATGTCACTGCTCATTAACAATGCACTTAATCACCCAAGAGCTCTGATGGAGATGTTCAAGATTAATGTTGTTTTCATGCTTGCTAATATAACATTCATTCTGTAACCCATGGATCAAGGAGTCAGTTAGACTTCCAAGTCTTATTATTTAAAACATACATTTCATAAGGCTATCGCTGCCATAGAGAGTGAGTCCTCTGATGGATCTGGACAAAGTAAATTGAAACTTTCTGGAAAGGATTCACCTTTCTAGATGCCATTAAGAACATTTGTGACTCATGGGAGGAGGTTGACATATCAGCCTTAACAGGAGTTTGAAAGAAGTTGAACTTGAAAGAAGCCCTCATGGATGACTTGGAGGGGTTCAGGACTTCATTAGAAGTCACTGAAGATATGGTAGAAATAGCAAGAGAACTAGAATTAGAAGTGGAGTCTGAAGATATGACTGAATTTCTGCAGTCTCATGGTAAAACTTGAACAGATGAAGAGTTGCTTCTTATGGATGAGCAAAGAAAGTGGTTTTCTGAGATGGAATCAACTCCTGGTGAAGATGCTGTGACCATTGTTTAAATAACAGAGGATTTAGAATATTCTACAAACTTAGTTGATAAAGCAGTGGCAGAATTTGAGAGGATTAACGCTATTTTTGAAAGAAGTTCTCCTGAGGGAAAATGCTATCAAACAGCATCACATGCTACAGAGAAATACTTCTTGGTAGCAAACTTCATTGTTGTATTATTTTAAGAAGTTTTCACAGCCACCCCAGCCATCAGCAATCACCAACCTGATCAGTCAACAGCCATCAACATTGAGGCAGGACTCTCTACCAGCAAAAAATATTACAGCTCGCTGAAGGCTCAGATGATCACTAGCAGTTTTTAGCAATAAGGTGTTTTTCAGTTAAGGTATATGCATTGCCTTTTTAGACATAATATTGCACACTTAATAGACTACTGTATAGTATAAACATGACTTTTTATATGTATTAGGAAACCAAAAAGTTTGTATTATTTGCTTTATTATGGTATTTGGATTATTGCTATGGTTTGGAACTGAACCCAAACTGTCTGAGTATGCCCATATATGGGAATAAAGATAACAAAGGATATATACCCTAGTGTAGCATAACAGCATCATTTGTCCTCAGATTTGGAAGGTATAAAGGGGGCCCTATACCCTGTTTTATGACTCAGCTGTAGTGACTAGTTCTGCTATTTTCTGCTGTCTTGCCATTGTTTGCTTCCTTTCAATCTGTATGAACCTTCCCTAGGAGTCCACATCAGATATAGCAAGGCTATGGGAGCTATTTTTAACTTAGGGCATACTGTATCAAAACTAAATAAACCACAGCCGGGCACGGGGGTTCATGCCTGTAATCTCAACACTTTAGGAGGCCAGGGCAAGTGGATCGTTTGAGGTGAGGAGTTCCAGACCAGCCTGGCCAACATGGCAAAACCCCGTCTCTACTAAATACAAAAATTAGCTGGGCGTGGTGGCGGGCGCCTGTAATCCCAGCTATTGGGGATGCTGAGGCAGGAGACTTGCTTGAACCCAGAAGGCAGGGGTTGCAGTGAGTCGAGATTGCACCATTGCACTCCAGCCTGAGCAGCAGAGTGAGACCCTGTCTCCAAAAAAAAAACCTAGACAAGTAGGCCGGGCGCGGTGGCTCAAGCCTGTAATCCCAGCACTTTGGGAGGCCGAGGCGGGTGGATCACGAGGTCAGGAGATCGAGACTATCCTGGCTAACACAGTGAAACCCCGTCTCTACTAAAAATACAAAAAACTAGCCGGGCGTGGTGGCGGGCGCCTGTAGTCTCAGCTACTCGGGAGGCTGAGGCGGGAGAATGGCATGAACCCGGGAGGCGGAGCTTGCAGTGAGCTGAGATCACGCCACTGCACTCCAGCCTGGGAGACACAGCGAGACTCCGTCTCAAAAAAAAAAAAAAAAAAAAAACCTAGACAAGTAAACTACATGCCAAGTTTCTTTGCAGATTCTTGGGAATTCTGTCAATTTAGTGTAGTAGTGCTGGACAGACCATGTTTAATAGTAGCTGTGGCCAGCACTTTAGTGTAATAAAGTAAAGGCAAATAAATTATAAATGCAGCTTCATGGACAAATTGGTCAAAACATGGATAAAAGTAGTGTAGTGCAAAGTGCAAAGCTCCAAGGTCAGGTAGACTTGGGTTCTGATCCCAACTCTGTTACTTATTAGTTGGGTAGTCTTGGGTAAGTTGCTTAACCTTTTAAGCTCCATAACTACCACTTTGATAAGTGGCGACAACAAAACTTAAGTAAAATACTACATGAAGTTGTTGTAGTAACTCATTCTTACTGACTGGCACTGTTCTAAGTGCTTTGCACATATTAACACATTTAATCCTCTGAGTAACTCAGATGGATTTTATTGTTAGAACCATTTTACAGATGAGAAAATTGAAGCACAGAAAGGTTATATAATTTGCCCAGCTCATAAATGGAAGAAAAGAGTTGAATTCATATCACTCAATTCCAGCACCTGAGCTCATCACCACTTACTAGCACTGCCTTTCCAGCCAGAATAGTGCCTCATTGTAGGTGGTCATCAAGTGCTACTGAGAATCTCTGAAAAGAATAAAAAGGTATTTGTAGTGGTAAAAGGATTGAGTACTACTGTCTTAATCTTTGATTTGGTGCAGTGGCAGCAAGGAATTTTACATAAAAGTGAGACAAGCAGGAGAATATGACTGGAGGCCTACATTCTGTTTTTAGAATGATATCTGGCACATACTAGAAATTTTTTTCAAAAGTAATTATTTAAAATACAGATGTGGTTACATGGGCTGTGAATTGCTCTTACATATTAGCTGCTTGCTTGTAAATACCAATATCTCCTCTGCTCATGAAACCAATAGTTTTCCATAGGCAAACAAAACATCACTTGTTTTTCCAGTCATTAATAATGAAACATAGTCACTTGACCTGACGGAAGGCAGAAGGACATAAAAGTACACTTTTTCAATTCTATTTTTAATACCTAATAGAAATCTCCACACTGAGCATTTAGAAGTCCTTATAGAATTTTAGACCTAGAAAAGAAACCAAGATCTAAATGGTTAAGTAACTTGCTCTAATCATGCGTCTGATAGTGGCACATGATCACCTGATTCCTTGTGTACTGCTTTTCCTGGCACCGAGCTGCTAGCCATACTATTCCCTTCAGCTCAGGATACTTGAAGGAACTTCAACAACATGGATAAGTTCTTTAGCAATGCTTAGTGAACACTTACTGGATGAAAAATCTTGTGCTAAGTACTGAGGAAATGGAAATTAAAATATTTAGCTCAATCACAGGAAACAGACATGTAAACAGATAATTGTGATATAGAAGAATATTACAACTGAGGTGCTTCTCCTTTTTTAACTTTATATGCTGTCATTCTACTAGATCATGAACTTCTGAAGGGACCTAGCTTTCTTTGTGTGCTCCAAGTGATTTGCACAAATAATAATGTATATTTTGAAAGAGAGAATCAGGTAACTTACAATAGTCGTGAAAAAGCTCAAAACACTTTTAAAAGTTTTCTGTAAATAACAATACAGCTGAGGTACATGAATTAAAAAGTGACTTGTATAGATAAGCTATGATATATATGTGTAGGGTGTGAGTGTGTGCGTTTCTTATAAAGGCATTTTTTCTTGTTGTTTCTACAGAGCAAGTGATAATCAAGTTACTATGAGTCTGCTAAACTGTGAAAACAGCTGTGGATCCAGCCAGTCTGAAAGTGACTGCTGTGTGGCCATGGCCAGCTCCTGTAGCGCTGCAACAAAAGATGATAGTGTGGGTGGAACTGCCAGCACGGGAAACCTCTCCAGCTCATTTATGGAGGACATCCAGGGATATGATGTAGAGTTTGACCCACCCCTGGAAAGCAAGTACGAATGCCCCATCTGCTTGATGGCACTACGAGAAGCGGTGCAAACACCATGCGGCCATAGGTTCTGCAAAGCCTGCATCATAAAATCAATAAGGTACGTGAGCGTAAGAAAGAATGGTGTCCTATAACAGAACCAGATGCAGAGAACATTATTACATAGAACATGGAACATCCCAAAAGTAGTCTTACACATAAAAAGCTACTTAGGAAAAAAGAACAATGGACAGAAAATTGAGAAAGTTAGATTCTTATCCCAGTTTCCACTGTTGTGTGAAAAGTGACCTGAATCTCCTCCTCTCTTGACCCTTGAATAAATAAGTAAATAATCTGCTACTTTTACTTAAAGCAGTTCTAATGCAGACTGGGGAGTGACTCTATGCTTTAAAGAAAATAGTATTTTTTAAATGTACCTTAAATTATGATGCTACTAGAGAAGGATAATCTCAACCACACAAAGAATACTGACTGTAAGCAATCAGTTATTGTGATTTTAGGCATGTTAAATCTTGCCTGTTACCTAAAGTGTATGGTCAACCAGTATTTTTAAAGAAATTATTAACTGAAGGCTCTACCTTCATAATATATCCAAAATCCAGTCCCTACTCACTTCCTGCCTCTACCACCATCCTGTTGTGAATCACCACCAGCTCTCTAACAGGCCTCCTGTTTTCTATTCTTGCCTTCTTCCAGGCTGTTCTCAATACAACAGCCAGAGTGAACCTAGTAAAATAAGTAAGATGGTGTCATCTCTGCTCAGACCATTGTAGCAGGGTATCTGGGAGTAAAAACTAAACTCCTTACGACCCTGTATAACAGGCCCATGATTCATTTCCTGACCTCTTTTCTGCTGTGCTCTTTGTCCTCCTACCCATTCATTCCCTCTTTGCTATTCCTTGAACGTGTCAGGCACACTCCTACCTTGGTGAGTGGCTTTAGCTTTTCTGTTTGCAACACTCTTGCCACAGCTAACCCCTTAACTCCTCCTCTTTGGCTCAAATGTCACCTTCTCATAGGTCCCCTCACCACCCTGTTTATACCACAGTGTGGTTCCACCCTTCTTGCCAGCCACTCCCAATCTCTCCACCTGGCTCTACTTTTCTTTTTTCCCTTAGCACTTTCTGCCTTCTAAAGCACCAAATAATTTATGTGGTTATTGTCTGCCCCACTGGATTATAAGCTTCTTGAGAGCAAAATTTTAGATCTGTTTTATTTCTTGATTTTTCCCAAGTTCTGGAAATAGTGCCCGACCCATAGTAGATGATCAGTAAATCGTGGTTGCTTTAACTGAATGAAAGTACTTGCAATTTCCATGGAAATAGATACATTTTACTGTAATTCAAAAGTACATAGGAATTTTTTAGGTGACTAAGGATTCCTATACAGGACAAAAAATTGGATGAAGGGGGGCAGATTTTATGTTCTTCAATAAATAGCCATCTAGTTATATTAGTGAATTCATTGTAAGTCTGTCCTGGCAATTTGTTAGTCTCCAAAAAGTTTTTATCTGCCAACTTTTACATTAACTTTTCTATAAAATTTGAATTTAAGAGTAACTACATCCATACTCGGGACTTGGCTTAATTTAAATCACAAAAGGTAATGTCTGTTGTTTCAATTTTGGGGAAAAATGTATTACACAGTGCTGACTTTACAAGATCTATTTTGGGTGGATTTTCTCAACCTCGACATTATTTTATTTTATTTTTTATTTTTTGAGATGGAGTCTTGCTCTGTCTCCCAGGCTGAAGTGCAGTGGCACGATCTCAGCTCACTGCAACCTCTGCCTTCCGGGTTCCAGCAATTCTCTGCATCAGCCTCCTGAGTAGCTGGGATTACAGACACCCGCCACCACACCCAGCTAATTTTTTGTATTTTTAGTAGAGATGGGGTTTCACCATCTTGGCCAGGCTGGTCTTGAACTCCTAACCTCGTGATCCACCCACCTCAGCTTCTCAAAGTGCTGATTACAGGCACGAGCCATTGCACCTGACCAACATTATTGATATTTTGGGCTGGATAATTATTTGTCATGGGAGAATGTCCTGTGTGTTGTAGGATCTTTAGCAGCATCCCTGGCCTCTGCTCACTGGATGCTATTAGTATCATCCTTTCCTGCACTTAGAAGTCCCAAAATATCCCCTGGGGGTCAAAATTGCCCCTAGTTGCGACCGCTCTATACATGAGAGCAGAATTAAAGGCACAACTTTTTTTTTTTTGATGCAGAGGCTGGAGTGCAATGATGCAATCTTGGCTCACTACAACTTCTGCCTCCCAAGTTCAAGTGATTTTCCTGCCTCAGCCTCCCCAATAGCTGAGATTACAGGCGTGCATGCCACTATGCCTGGTGAATTTTTGTATTTTTAGTACAGATGGGGTTTCATCATGTTGTCCAGTCTAGTCTTGAACTGCTGACCTCAAGTGATCCACCCACCTCGGTCTCCCAAAGTGCTGGGATTACAGGCATGAGCACTGTGCCCAGCCTCAATTTTTTTTTCTGTGTATAATTATTTTTATTTATGTTGTATTTAGGTAAAATGGTAGCATATTATGGATCATTGATTTTCCTGTAGGTAGAAATGTAGTTTTTTACCAGGTGTCAGCCATGCCCAGGAAGGTAGCTAACCTTTAGCAGCTTTTTAATAGCAAGATGTTCGTGAAAGTAGTGGGACAGTGGTCTGAGAAGAAAATACAACCCACAAAAAGAAGTCTGAGGCTTTTTTTTTCTGTCTCCCCGTAAGCTTTTTAAAAACGAACACCTAGCGCCAGTGTTCTTAAAGGAACTGCTCTGAAATTTCTCATTGAGTTTGTCATTCAAGCAATCAAAGTGCATCTCAATACAACCCCATTGTCTTTTCCTGAGGATAGTGTTTTCCAGCATAAGAAAGAATAAACCACTGAGAAGCAGGACATAGAGGTCCTTTAACTTTCTGTCACATTGGACCCTAGACATACAAATAAAGGAGGACTTTTGTTGCCTGTTAGCTGGAGTGTTATAGTGACTATTTCAGAGTAAACTTTAAAATGTGACTTCATGGAGGTACTGCTAAGTGCTGAAATTTTTACTTATGACTGAGCAATTGCATTATAGACATGTTATTAGCACTGTGAGCATCTTTCTAGTGTGTTGTATAGGTGTGACAACACAGAGGCCAGACGGCCAAAATTCCCATTCTTAACTTGCACTTCATTTTATACCAATCAAAATACCTTACTCAGCTAATTTGTCTCAAAAAGCTGGACTCTATCCTACTGTATAAAAATCCCTTTGCTTTTGATAGGCTATCAATATGCTGCTAGTTGTACTCATTTCATAAAAGAACAGTTTATTTTGTTGATGTGCAACATAATGTGTTAAATTGTTTTTTCCTTCTGAAACAGTAAATGGAGAATTTATATATAGCGAATTAAAGTTGTTTGGATTTTCTAAAGTGAATATTTAAATCTAGTTGTGTGTATTTTGTTTCTGTTAGGGATGCAGGTCACAAATGTCCAGTTGACAATGAAATACTGCTGGAAAATCAACTATTTCCAGACAATTTTGCAAAACGTGAGATTCTTTCTCTGATGGTGAAGTGTCCAAATGAAGGTTGTTTGCATAAGATGGAACTGAGGCATCTTGAGGTATTAAAGTTCTTTTCTAGCTGTTAGCGCATGTATGAAAGGAAATTCCTACAGAATAGGAACTTTGCTATGTCCATCTGTGTTTTGCCAGTACCTAGCATATGATGATTAGTTAATAAATTCTTGCTGAATTAATGCCAGTCCTTTAATTATTGAATATAAATATAAGTAGAAACCAGAAATATACTGTTTTATCTACTCTGGCTTTGCCTAGCAGTAATTTTTTTAAAAAAATCAGTATTGTTTTGGCCGGGCGCGGTGGCTCAAGCCTGTAATCCCAGCACTTTGGGAGGCCGAGACGGGCGGATCACGAGTTCAGGAGATCGAGAGACGATCCCGGCTAACACGGTGAAACCCCGTCTCTACTAAAAAATACAAAAAAATAGCCGGGCGAGGTGGCGGGCGCCTGTAGTCCCAGCTACTCGGGAGGCTGAGGCAGGAGAATGGCGTAAACCCGGGAGGCGGAGCTTGCAGTGAGCTGAGATCCGGCCACTGCACTCCAGCCTGGGTGACAGAGCAAGACTCCGTCTCAAAAAAAAAAAAAAAAAAAAAATCAGTATTGTTTCATAAGCTTTTTTGGTGAGTTTTATCTGCAGTAAACCTGAGGAGCATTTTAAATACAAGTGTCGGCCAGGCACAGTGGCTCACCCCTGTAATCCCAGCACTTTGGAAGGCTGAGGCGGGTGGATCACGAGGTCAAGAGTTCGAGACCAGCCTGACTAATATAGTGAAACCCCGTCTCTTACTAAAAATACAAAAATTAGCCAGTGCATGGTGGCATGCACCTGTAATCCCAGCTACTCAAGAAGCTGCGGCAGGAGAATCACTTGCAACCAGGAGGCAGAGGTTGCAATGAGCCAAGATCGCGCCATTGCACTCCAGCCTGGGCAACAGAGTGAGGCTCCGTCTCCAAAGAGAAAATACAAGTGTCATATTTTAATCTTAAAACTTCATTTTTGTCATTTTGAAATAAGCACTAAGTCCCAAGTAATCATCTCAGTATCCTCATTATACTTTTTTCTGTTTTTTAAATTGTGCATTTTATTATGAACTAAATGGAATACTCCTGTAGTTTGAGATTAACTGAAACAATCAGATTATAAAATAATTTGCTTTTAAACTAAATAGATCAATTATTAACTTGGTGATTTTTACCAGAAATTAAATATTATTAATGTTATATTTGAAATTAAATGTTTAAGACAGCTATGCTACTTGCTCCTTTTACTTACTAGCTCTTAAAAGAGAGTGGCCTTTTCGACACAGTAATAAATTGATAAATGGGAAATCTGACTTCTTTCCAACTCTCTACCCTAATTGGATGCATGAACTTGAGAATTCACATTTCTTGTATAAATTTGCAATCCATGACCATTTGAAAAAATTCACTAAAGACGTTCACATTGTGAATGGTTCTGTGGTGTGCACTAGACAAAGTAGGTTCAGTAGCCTGCTGAAAGAGAACAGTATATTATTAGGAGAGATTATATGTAGAAGACTTCAGAGTTGGCTAATACTAATCTATTATTTTTTTATTATAGGATCATCAAGCACATTGTGAGTTTGCTCTTGTGGATTGTCCCCAATGCCAACGTCCCTTCCAAAAATTCCATATTAATATTCACATTCTGAAGGATTGTCCAAGGAGACAGGTTTCTTGTGACAACTGTGCTGCATTAGTGGCATTTGAAGATAAAGAGGCATGTACTAACTTGGAGTTGTTAAATTCACTACTTCGTAAAACATTGTTCTTCAATGTGTACTTGAGGGGGTTAGCAGTAGATAAGGATGTGACTCCAACTCTGAGTCTATATTATCAATTTTGGGAAAAATGATTTTTAAGAAAAGAAGCTTCAATAAGCCATTTTAGTTTGTAAGTGTAGAGTTTGTATTTGCATGTCTTTCTTAAAAAACATTTATACTAGTTATCACTATTGTAGATAGGCAAGCAACAAAACTTCTAGGAAGGGCATATGCCGATCAGCTTTCCCGTGTGATATTTTGATGACCAATTTTGGATTGGAGACAAACAAGTAGAATAATTACTGCATAAGATCTACACAAAATTATTTTGAAAAAGAGAATGGGTTATAATTATTATGAAGAATAAATCAAACCCACAAAGTCTGTTTCCTCGATGATACTTCATCGTGCTGTATATATAATGTATTTAATGTATTTACATTTACTTCTCATTTTGTATGTTATATTTAAATTTAAAAGTTTATCCTTTTTTTTTTTTTTTTTTTTTGAGATGGAGTTTCGCTCTTGTTGCCCAGGCTGGAGTGCAATGGTGTGATCTCAGCTCATCGCAACCTCTGCCTCCTGGGTTCAAACGATTCTCCTGCCTCAGCCTCCTGAGTAGGTGGAATTACAGGCGCGTACCACCATGCCTGGCTAATATTTTTGTATTTTTAGTAGAGATGGGGTTTCTCCATGTTGGTCAGGGTGGTCTCAAACTCCTGACCTCAGGTGATCCGCCCGCCTCAGCCTCCCAAAGTGCTGGGATTACAGGCACGAGCCACCAGACCAGGCAAAAAGTTTATCTTTTAAAAAGAAACTTGATGGTGCCTAACAGCATCATGATTATAGGACAGTTTTTATATTCAGAAACTGAGATAGATTAAGTAGACTTGTATTAATATTGCCAATAAAAAAGCTAACACTGAAATCTAAGCCCTTGATCCCTATCCTATGTATACTTTTATAAAATAACCTACATATAATTTATGTTCTTTTGTTCTATTACTTAGATACATCCTTAAACTACAGTTTTTATAAATTCATATTGGCAGTTTTTCCCTACTTTGAGATCAAGTGTATTATATCCATTACATTGATAAAATATTCAAAAAAAGTCAGCCAACTTGATATAAATATAGAGAAGTCTCAGTCATAATCAGAGTAAAATGACAACTCCTTCCTTTCTTTTTTTTTTTTTTTTTTTTTTTTTTTTGAGATGGAGTTTTGCTCTTGTTGCCCAGGATGGAATGCAATGGCGCAGTCTCGGCTCACCGCAACCTCTGCCTCCTGGGTTCAGGCAATTCTCCTGCCTCAAACTCTCATGTAGCTGGGATTACAGGCCTACACCACCACGCCTGGCTACTTTTGTATTTTTAGTAGAGACGGGGTTTCTCTATGATGGTCAAGCTGGTCTCAAACTCCTGACCTCAGGTGATCTGCCCGCTTTGGCCTCCCAAAATGCTGGGAGTACAGACGTGAGCCACCGCGCCACACCCGACAACTTCTTTCTAAACTTTAGTAAATTAGATTGACTTAACCTGGAAGGCTAATTATTTCTTAGCACGTCAACTAAAGTCATTATATTCTAGAAAATAAGGCTCACCCTTGTGGGGCATCTGAGAACCTGAGCACCAAATCCTCATGCCCTAATAAAAGATTTGTTCTTTAACTCTACTGACAAGAAATTTTAATTAAATTGTCATTCTGCTGCTGAAAATTTTTGGAAAAAGATTGCCTTTGGAGAATTATAGCCTCGGCAGATGATGTCCAAAGTAGTTACAGATGCACCGCCTCAGGATAAAAGGAAGGAATTGGAAAAATTATTTTTTATATACTACCCTGCTCTTTTAAAGAGCTAGAAGGTTGAATGAATCTCATTATTACACTGGGAAAGAGAAAGAAAATATCCTTTATATATTACTCTCACTTTCACTCACTTTTGTTTTATACAAATTGATGTCCTTATTTGTTTATAGTGAAAAATTGCTTTTTATCAAAATTAGTTGTTTTCACTTTTTCAGATATTTTCATGCTTTAATTATATTTCTCGAATAAAATTTAGATCCATGACCAGAACTGTCCTTTGGCAAATGTCATCTGTGAATACTGCAATACTATACTCATCAGAGAACAGGTATTATTCATTTTCATAAATTATTATTTTCATAAACAGCTTAAAGAAGTTAGGATTTTTAATTGAAAATTTAAATCAATAAGGCAAAGAAATACAGATTGAAGAAGTATTAGAGCTGTGTGGAAATTTTTTATATTAATTAATATAAATAATAAATACTTTAATGAAGAACAAAACATCCAGCCCTTTTTAAGTACTTAGAATTCCTAAGTCATTAACATAATACCTGTGCTTTTGTATATTCATAAAACTTCCCAAAAAAACCAATTTTAAGATAAAAATAATCAAAAGTAAGGGTCCCCAGTTATAGAAAGAAAAACTAAGATATATATCTATTTACACACAGGGAAATGAGGCTCTCAAGTGTCCACAGATTGGCCGAAAGAATAAGAAAGAACAATGAAATAAAGGAAAGTAGTTCTGTTCAGTAGGAGAATATTAATTGAAGCTGTAATCCCTGAGGCATACAGGGAAGTTTTCAGATTTTCAGGACCTGTAGCCCTTCTGTTCAGTTGTCCTGTGGGCCACCAATCAGGCATCATTAGAAGTAGTAACTGTAACAGAAAATTATATGGTGGGGTTTTTTTGTTTTTTTGTTTTCTGAGATAGAGTCTCATGCTGTTGCCCAAGCTGGAGTGCAGTGACACAGTCATGGCTCACTGCAGCCTCAAATTCCTGGCTCAGGCTGTCCTCCTCCCTCAGCCTCCCAAGGAGCTGGGACTACAGGTGTGCACCACCATGCCTGGCTAATTTTTTATTTTTTTAGATTTTTTGTAGAAATGGGGTCTTGTTATATTGCCTAGACTGATCTCGAACTCCTGAGCTCAAGCAATCTTCCCACTTTGGCCTCCTGCAGTGCTGGAATTACAGGTGCAAGCCACCAAGCCCAGCCCAAAGACTGTTTTGACTATTAGTAGAGAAAGGAAAATTCCATCTGATTGCTATCTTCTGACATTTGGGGAGTTTTCCCACAAAACATGAATATTAACCATTAAATATTTATATACCCACGAAATCTATAAACCCAGAGATCATTATTGACATACCTTACTGAGAAGCAGCAAGCAAAACCTGTCACTGGACAAGTTTATTAACCTTAAAACTTTTTCATTGGTTTGTTGCCAGTCTATTAATTTTTCCAACAAAGGCTTAATTTGAAGGTGTTAAACTTTTTTGCTTAATGAAGTCCTAACTCATTTTCCTTTTTGCTCTCTTTTAATATTTAAAGGAAACCATTCAACAAATTAAAACCCAGCAAAAGAAAATATAGGAAAAAACCCTAGACTAAGAGTCAGAAAACCTGGGTTTTCATCCTAGTTTTAAACTGTATTAACTGGTTTTATTTGTGCCCTCTCATGTTTAACAAGTTGACATTCTAAATAGATCTGGGATCAGCAAACTGGCCTGCCCCCTAGATTTGTCTCACTGTTTTTGTAAAGTTTTATTGAAAGAGCCATGCCCATGTGTGTATGTCTTGTGTATGGCTACTTTTATATGACAGTGGTAGAGCTTAATACTTGGGACAGAGGCAGTACAGCCCATATTTACTATCTGATCCTTTACAAAAAATTTTATTGACCCCTGTTCTGCACTGTTCCCTCTTGAGAAGTGAAGGATTGAATTATAATAAATGGTCTCTCCGGTACTTTCTGTTTGAAATATCTACAACTATAGCTAAATTAAATTTCTAAAGGGAATTTGGCACCTCTTTTAAAAAATATGATTGAGTATAATGGATCTTACCTTAGAAAATGTGTCTTAGATTCCAACATCGAGAACTGAGACTTTCTCTAGAGCTTTTATTAATGTGTTTAAAGTACCTTCTAACATCTGAGTCTCCCCATTGTAACTAACATATGCCCAGATTAACAAAAGTTAAGATGATTTTTGAAAGGTGGTCATGAGGAAAGTATGGGTGTAGTCAGTGGCTTCACTGCATGCAGTTGACTGGTTCCTATTAAATGGCCTAGACCGTAGTGGGAGTCGATTGAGTTTGCAGTTGTAGCTGTTGTCAGGTGTTTTTTCTGTAAAGTGCCACTAGAGGGTGCCAGTTCCCAGCAAGAGGAACAAATTCATTTTCTTGAATTTTGAATAATTGGAGGGGTTATGATGAGATGTTGATATTTCCTTTCTCTATAACTTTTGGAAGTAAATGTTATTTTAATCTTTGTGGGTGATGGTTTATGCTGCACCTGTTCAACTGCCAATGTGGTACAAAAGCAGCCATTGACAATACAGTTTAAATGTTATTGCATCGAACATGATATGCAAGGAGGATTTTTCAGCCTTTGTTTTGGATTTCAGATGCCTAATCATTATGATCTAGACTGCCCTACAGCTCCAATTCCATGCACATTCAGTACTTTTGGTTGCCATGAAAAGGTAAGATTTTTTTTTTCTTTTAGTTCTTGAATATAAGTAAAAAAATACTCAGTTACATCATGTAGTGGAGAATAACAACAAGAATGTAAATGGTTTATAAAGCAGTGTAATAAGTTATATAATAGAGTTATTCATGGATGCCATGAGCAGAAGCAAAGGCATACTTAGCAATGCCTAAAGCATTCAGACAGACTTGAAAAAACATGATGCCTTGGGCTGAATCTCGACAGGTGAAATAGTTTTCCAAGAAGACAAGGGAGAGAAGACCAGTGAGAGAGAGTGAGCATGGTGATTTGAGGAACTACAATTAGTTTGTGTTGTGCTAGTTCAACCCAGTAGCAATGTAGATGATTTGAGGTAGAGGTGGAGGTGGGGGTACTAGTACCTGAGCTGTTGGAAATACTTAAGTGAAGACAGCTTGAATTATGGTGATGACAGCGAAGATAGATCTAGGAGACAGTACATATTTAGGAGAGAAGATCTATTGCCTATGTGACTAACTAAATGTGATGAGTAAAGGAGAGGGAGGCATCTAGAATGACTCTTGGTTTCTGGCCTTTGTCACTGGGTAGATGGAAGGGCCATTCGGCAAAAAAGAGTGAACACAGGAAGAACTGATTGGAGGTGGAGTTTAAAAAAGAAAAATCTGTTTTAATGAATTGAGTTACAGATATGACTTCACCCAGCTAGGGAACAGGTGGAGAGGACTGACATGCATTCTGTGCTGTCTTAAGCCCCAAAGAGAAATTAGGACTCAAGTATTGCTTTGGGGAAGTGATTTGTGGTGATAATGGAAGGTGTGATTGAGATCAGATAGAGTATGTACAGGAAAGAGAAGTACACCAAGGAAAAGAGCCATGAACAAACAGTGTAAGAAACAGATGAACCAGGCAAAGAGAAAGTATTATTATGGTCTCCAAAATTAGTTTCAAGATTCATGATCAGTAGTGTCAAATGTCTGAGATGGATCATTGTTTATGTTATGTCTTTCTTTTTGGAGAGTGCAGTTACACTTTTGCTTTTCCATTATACTTTTTTTTTTCCTGACTTATGTATAACAAACATACATTTAATAATTTAAAAAAATAAAATGAGCAAAATGGTATGGTTATAGTTTGTGGAAAAATTCTGTATTTTTGTGCTTAGAGAAAAAGACTTGAAAGACATAAAATGTTAATGGAAGTTAGGAGAGATAATAGGTAGCATACTTTCTTTTTGGTCATCTATATTTTCTAGGTTTTTTAAAGACTATGTGACCTTTTATAATAAAAAAGTGTTGCATTATGAATGGTTTTCATATAATAGGATGTTCTTAATGACCTTAGAATAGCGTGGTGCCAGGAAAAAAATCCAATTTGCAATAGATTTGTATACTGGGAATTGCAGACGATACAGATAGACTATATTCTTGACTTAAAAAAAAAAAAAGAAAATGGTATTAATATTAACTGGAGAGACAAAAGATCTTCAGAGAAGTTTGTCCTTTTTTAATGGGAAAGATTTTAATAATTGTATTCTAAAGAGGGAGAGATGTTTGAAGATGAAGAAAAATCACTGAGTAAAATCTCTGGGGTGTTGCAACAGGTCAGGTAACATTTAGCGCACAGGTAGAATGTTAATCTTGGAGAGGACAGGCATCTCAGTCAGAAAAGAAGGATGTGTATAAATACATTTTTTGTAGGTGGGAGGGAGATGTATATGAGTGAAAGCTGGGAGAGTAGTCATCAGATAGTCTGTTTTTCAGTGAACTAAGAGGCAGAGTCGCCTCATTGGATCAAAAATCTGTTGAAGGCAAAGGAAAATGGTAGAGAATTGAGGGAAGTGGTGTGACTACTTGAAAACCTCTTATTTGACCTGGCCAGGTCCCTTTCTTGCTCCTCACAGTATCGGTTCCCAATCTAAGGCTTGTGCTCGATTTTTAGATGCAGAGAAATCACTTGGCACGCCACCTACAAGAGAACACCCAGTCACACATGAGAATGTTGGCCCAGGCTGTTCATAGTTTGAGCCTTATACCCGACTCTGGGTATGTCTCAGAGGTCCGGAATTTCCAGGAAACTATCCACCAGTTAGAGGGTCGCCTTGTAAGACAAGACCATCAAATCCGGGAGCTGACTGCTAAAATGGAAACTCAGAGTACGTATGTAAGTGAGCTCAAACGAACCATTCGAACCCTTGAGGACAAAGTTGCTGAAATTGAAGCACAGCAGTGCAATGGAATTTACATTTGGAAGATTGGCAACTTTGGAATGCATTTGAAATGTCAAGAAGAGGAGAAACCTGTTGTGATTCATAGCCCTGGGTTCTACACAGGCAAACCCGGGTACAAACTCTGCATGCGCTTGCACCTTCAGTTACCGACTGCTCAGCGCTGTGCGAACTATATATCCCTTTTTGTCCACACGATGCAAGGAGAGTATGACAGCCACCTCCCTTGGCCCTTCCAGGGTACAATACGCCTTACAATTCTTGATCAGTCCGAAGCACCTGTAAGGCAAAACCATGAAGAGATAATGGATGCCAAACCAGACCTGCTTGCTTTCCAGCGACCCACAATCCCACGGAACCCAAAAGGTTTTGGCTATGTAACTTTCATGCATCTGGAAGCCCTAAGACAAAGAACTTTCATTAAGGATGACACATTATTAGTGCGCTGTGAGGTCTCCACCCGCTTTGACATGGGTAGCCTTCGGAGGGAGGGTTTTCAGCCACGAAGTACTGATTCAGGGGTGTAGCTGCCCTCACTTGTTCAAAAACAACTACCTGGAGAAAACAGTGCCTTTCCTTGCCCTGTTCTCAATAACACGCACATGAGCCGCAGGAAAGATGTAGTATCTACTAGTGAGTGTTGTTAGAGAGGTCACTTACTATTCCTGTTACAAATGATCTGAGGCAGTTTTTTCCTGGGAATCCACACGTTCCATGCTTTTTCAGAAATGGTTAGGTCTGAAGTGCCTGTGGCATGTTGCAGCAGCTATTTTGTCAATTAGTATACCTCTTTGTTGTGCTTTCTTGGGCTTTTGCTCTGGTGTATTTTATTGTCAGAAAGCCCAGACTCAAGAGTACTAAACTTTTAATAATAATGGACTTTCCTTAAAACTTAGTCCATTTTATAGTATTATATGTAATATATTAAACGTGAAAATCACTACCGCCTTGTGCTAGTGCCCTCGAGAAGAGTTATTGCTCTAGAAAGTTGAGTTCTCATTTTTTTAACCTGTTATAGATTTCAGAGGATTTGAACCATAATCCTTGGAAAACTTAAGTTCTCATTCACCACAGTTCTTCCTCCAGGTTGTTACTAAGGATATTCAGGGATGAGTTTAAACCCTAAATATAACCTTACTTATTTAGTGTAAACATGTCTGTTGAATACTTGTTTAAGTGTTAGTTATGCCTTGCTTACATATTTCCTTGAGGTTACGAAGCAGCATCTTCCCCAGAGTTTGTAATGCTGAGAACCATGTGGATACCAAGTGCTTATTGTATGCTGTGTAACCCTTTTTGTCTATTCAGTGCAGAGGGAATTTCACAGCTCTGCATATGTCTTCAGTTGTTTAATGCTTACAAGACAGGAGATACACACAGTCAGCAACATAAAAATTAAAAGTGACTCAAGTAGTCAGCCCATGTGGCATCTCAGTGGTGGTGACAGAAGCTATGTGAGCCAGAAGTTTTTAGCTCTTTCGAATACCCTCTGTTTTAGTTCAATTAAATAGAACAAAATTGATTTCCTATAATGAGAATTTTTTAAAACCTGGGAGATGATTGGCAATACCTAAGAGGTCACCAAACTAAGATTAGAAGTCATAGTGGTTGTATCACAACTTAGCTTGAGTACGTTGCTGTAGCCTAACAACTGCAGGTTCTGAGAAGGATCCTGTGGAATCCTGGAAGTAGCCAAATTTTCCTAATAGGGAAAGATGATTTTTTTGTGTGCCATGTATTTGTTAAAGGCCTATATATAGATATAAAATATTGTGGAATTGTTCTCAGGGAGACCCGCAACTAGTATAAGCTTATAAAGGATCTAAAGATCCATCCACCATTTAAAGTTGTCTGGTAACGAGAGATAACATTGTATCCCCAGAGAGGCCAAATCAGGGTCCCCAGCCAGCGTTCTTGATCAGCCTTCATTTCAAGAGAAAGCCAAGGCCCTCATCTACTGGGGAGTGTGGTTTTCAGCCCCAGCGAGTGTCGTTTTGAACTTTCCCTTTGCTTTTTTCTCTCTTCTTCCTCCCCACCCACCCTTGCTCCTGATCTGGTGAGTTTGTTATGGAGTGAAAATAAAAGTCAAGCAGAGACCTTGTTCCCCATGCCACCATTAGTACCACAAGCTCATGGCTAGTTACCACATTATTTCCTGGCAGTTTGTGTCCCTCAGCTGTGCCTTCCAACCAGCTCCTGAGAATCACTGCATACCACCCTCTACCTAGGGAAACCCACACTGCTGCTGTTCCTGTGATTGTTTTACAATGAATAAATAATTGTCAAATTCCATTTAAAAAGTAAACAGTAGTAGTTTTGTATTTGCATAGAAAAAGCCTGAAGGAAATATACTAAACTTTTTGTTGGCTTATTTTCCTTTGTGCTTGCTTATATTTTTTACATTTTCTACAATAAATGTGTACTTTTATCAGAGAATTAAATGTTGCCGCAAAACATTCAATCTCCACGCCCCCAGCTCAAAAAAGGAAATGATATTTAAAAACTTCCTGGTCAGATTTCTATTAAAAGCATTGGCTGTGCATTAGGTACAAAGAGGAGTCATTTCCTGCCTTGGTGATACTATTTTTTTCTACTAAAGTCTTTAAAAAAAAATTTTTTTTTGTTTTGCCTAATTTCAGTTTTTAGTAAGCTTCCCATCTGTAAAATGAGTTGGACTAGATGTTTCTACAGTCCCCTCCAGCCATAACATTCTGTCTCAAATTAAGTTCCAAGCACCAGAACACTGACAATACTTACTAAAGTATTTTGCCAGTAGAAAATGTCTTTAACTTATTCTTTGCTGACACTGATACTTTCCTCTAATTTAGTGTCTGTCAGCTGGGTCACATCTTAAATAAAATGAGCAATTTTAACCCCCAACATTTGGCATTTTGTCATAAACCAGCCATTATATTATGCTGGTCATTCATCGTGACTACAAAGTAAAAGAGTCAAGCTGTCATTCCAAATAAAACTTTTGACTTCAATCAGAATTAAGCCTTAACCTGGAAAGTTGGTTTCTTCCTTATATTTTCCCAGTCTCCTACTCCATTCTTAAACATGCTAGTTTCACTCAGTTGGGTGTACAAGCCTTTGGGCTTTATGTTGTATGTTACTAACCATCTTTTAACATACTTATCTTTTGGCATCATTCTGGGACATTGCTAAATTAAAAAGAAATTGTTTCCTCTTTTTCCAGAGATGTCTAACCAAGTGATTTTTTTGCTTTTTTCATTTGTTTGTTTTGAGACAGTCTCACTCTGACACTCATGGCGCGACCATGGCTCACTGCAACCTCTGCCTCCCGGCTTCAAGAGATTCTTCTGCCTCAGCCTCCCAAGTAGCTGGGATTACAGGCACCTGCCATCACGCCCAGCTAATGTTTTTGTATTTTTAGTAGAGACAGAGTTTTACCATATTGGCCAGGCTGGTCTGGAACTCCTGACCTCAGATGATCCACCCGCCTCAGCCTCCTGAAGTGCTGGGATTACAGGCATGAGCCACCGTGCCCAGCATCCAACCCAATGCTGGATGAAACTTGCTGTATGTCATACATTTTGCTATTGGCAAGCAAGTCTGAATGTTGATTGGAAGTTTGGTAGTTTGTTACTATCTTTTGGCAGCAAAGATTGTTTATTAGTATACTACAATGTGATTTAACTTTTATTTTGGGGATAAAGAGTAGAAAAAAGTGAAACAGAATGAAGGCAGGTGTTTTTTATCCTAATGATGAACTAATACAGAGCTATTGGACTATCTCTAGCAATTAATTTTTGTGACCCTTGTAAAATTATACAGGTCACAGTATAATTCTCCATTACTGTTTTTATACCAGTAAGTCTTAGATAAACTAACAGCATGCTTATGAATTATGTGTACAATTAGAATACATTCTTTTTACAGAGGAACAATTGCTTGGATGTACCAACACTGTTTTCTTCTGGGCTTGCTTCAAGGTCTACTCATTATTTTATATAAAATACCATTAGGCTGGGCACAGTGGCTCACACCTGTAATCCTAGCACTTCGGGAGGTGGAGGCTGGCAGATTGCTTGAGGCCAGGAGTGCAAGACCAGCCTGGCCAAAATGGTGAAGTCCCATCTCTGTAAAAATACAGAAAGTAGCCGGGTGTCATGATGCATGCCTGTTATCCCAGCTACTTGGGAGGCTGAAGCACAGGAATCGCTTGAACCTAGGAAGCAGAGGTTGCAGTGAGCCAAGATCATGCCACTGCACTCCAGCCTGGGTGACAGAGTGTGACACTGTCTCACAAGACACAACCAAAACATCAGATTCTGTTTGTGATGCCTGGTTGCTTAGAACCTAAGCAGTGCAATGCCTTAAGGAAATGAAAAAGGAGCAATAAGTAGTCATTTATATTTTTATTTTGAAGTGTGCTTTTTCTAAACTCCCAGATTGACATGACGGACTGTAAGTTAGTTTCTCCATTTCTATCCTTGTGCCTGTCGAGTGTACTTGGCACTCACAAATTCCCAGTATCCAGAAAGATGATCTGATGAAATCAAATTGGATGGATCTTGGCAGACTGTGACAGTCAATTACAGCCTTCACTTTCCGTCAAAAACAGACACTTGCAAGGAGATGCCTGGTGGTTTCACTAAATGTCACTTGTGTCTGTAATATTTTAAAGCTGTTTCCCCACAGGAAATGCGGGTTACAAAATCCTGAAAAATCATTCTAGGTGGGAAAAACATTTTAGGAAATGAGAGATGTGGTGCTGCTTTTCCTCTCTGAGTGCTTTCTCAGCAGGACGCTAGCCCTGCCTTTAAGATGGGGAAGTTGGGGCATGTGCCTCTCTCTGCTCTTGATTTCTGCAGCTCTGAAGGCAGATGCGGTCCCACTCGGACAATCGCCCAAGCAGCAGTGACCATAGTTCTAAGCAAGAGTTGACCTAGGAGAAGGTAAACTCTGTGGAATGGGGATGTGTGCTGAATCCCCTCTTCTTACCACAGTGCCTGGCACGTCGCACACACTCATATATGTAATAATGAACATTTATTGAAAGCAGCAGTTGAAGCCAACCAATTTCTGGTACCTTAGTTGTCATGTAAATTTTAGATGGTAAGGCGTAGATATTACTCTTTTTGCTTTTTTTCTTCAGCATTTTGTGAAATTTCCCAAACGCAGAAATGTTGAAAGACTTGTATAGTGAACATATACCACCTAGAATCTGCAGGAATATTATGTTACATTTGCTTTATCACTTGATAGATGTTACTTTTAATGAGACTTCAAGTTTGGTGTCTCTAAAAACATTCTAAAATAATTGAACAACTTTAATCAATTTGTCTTCAGTTCTTTGGGGGGACTTGGGACATTTGCTTTGTAACTAGAATGTAGCCCTCACTTTAAGCTAATTTTAAACTTTGTAAATTTGTTATGCTGAATTTTAGGGTTTTTTTTGGTTTGTTTTGTTTTGTTTGCCTGAAGGGGTTTTTGGTTTTGTTTTTGTTTTTGTTTTGTAATGGATTTATTTGAAGGTCCTTGATAAATTGTGCAGAATATTCTCGTGTTATTTTTGCACTTG